TGATGAATTACTCTTGGAACTGCTCTTTGTACATTCACCTTACTTCCTTATCACAGAAAGAAAAATAAACAGCATACACATCCCAAAAGTATATATATTTTCTGTATGGGTTTAGATACACATTTATGGGGTTATTCACGAAGGAGTCAGAGGATCCAGAAGGCCGTAAGCCCCGCAAATGACAGCTGGGAGGAGCCAGCCATGATCTCATTTGTAATGACAGATCAGCATCCCTAAATGACCTGGGGACGCTGATCTGTCATTAAACAATAACAACTGGGCGGAGACGGCCGTGATGTTGGGGCCGGCTCTGCCCAGTTGTTATTCATTGGCCGGGACCTGCTAGAAGACTCTAGCAGGTGGTGGCCAATAGGAAACAGTTGGGTGGAACTAGCTGTCACTGCTAGCTCCGCCCAATTGTTTTATTTTTTAAATCTTATTTTTTAATTTTACTATTTATTTACATTTTAAAATATTTTTTCAACTTTTTTTGTTAACTCTTTTCATTGATTTTATTGTCTGCTCGGTACCACGTAGGTATAGGGGGCGAACGGCAGCGATTGAGCTGCCGGAGCTTCGGCTCAGCCTATCCACATGTTGGATCGGCTGACTCAAAGTCCTTCTGCACTTCGGCTCAGCCACCCAAATATATGACCAAAGTGCAGCCTAAGGTTGCCGATGTACGGCTAATATCAACCGTGCAAGCCAGAAGTGAATAGCCGAACAGCATTCGGCTCACTTCACTTCGGCTGGGTTATTCACTCGGCTGCCTTTGGCAGCTTTGTGAATAACCCCCTTACTTATTATCCTTTCAGCTGTTTATATATCTGGATGTCAAGATTTTGATATGTGATTTCTAGGGCTGCGGAAATTAACGATTAATTTCTCGATTAATCATTAAACTTTTTGATCGATTACAATTATTTTGATCGCTAATGAAAACACTCACCTCTCCGCCGGCTTCCGGGAGTTCCGTCGGAGATCCGGTGACATCACGGACATCGACTCCCCCCTTCCCCAAGTGGCTCAGTTGGCTAACGAAGGGAAGGGGGGAGCAGTCGTCCGGTGACGTCGATGTCCATGACGGCTAACAAAGGGAAGGGGGGAGGCCTTGGCTGCACAAGCGCCAGCCAAGGCATTGACCTATACACATACACCACAGCAATGAAGTAATACAATGAACTAGGATCACACTAATCCAGGTTGTATTATTCTGAGTTGCCCCACTCAAGCGGCGGCCATATTAAGTGGGGCACGTGAGATTAATAACGTGCTGGATGATCCTAGTTCATTTTATTACTTCATTGCTGAGCTGTATGTGTATAGGCCAATGTAGTTGGATCTGTATGTGCGTTATAATTAATCGAAATTAATCGATTAAATTTTTTTTCCATTAATCGAACACGAAAATTTTAATCAGTAACAGCCCTAGTGATTTCCACTGGAGGTAACTACTGTGTATACATTTTTCATCATATGCTTAGGCTTACTGTATGTGCTTTGTTATATATGGTAAGCTAAATATGGTATTGTGTTTTTTTTAGAATGCAATAAGTGTTTGCTGCTTCACTGTATTTGGTTGCTAAATTTGTATGCCATGTAATAGTTGTAAACATCTTCTAGTTAAAAAATTAGATGTAACAGTTGTGCATTGTTCTGTACGTGTGAAAAATATTTAATCCGGTTGTACATTTGGCTAACATAACATTTTACCTGCCGTGCATTACTATACAGATGATGTAGCAATGCCTCACTATATTTTAGATGAGCCTTTTTAGAGTTCACCTCTGGATCCTGCACACAAGTACACTGGTCCCTTACTAAAGCATTGTCTTAAAACTATGTTCATTGATGCCATCATTAAAATAATGGTGAGATATCTTCAAGGTATAGAATTCTTTCCTTTGCAAATCGTACATTTTGGGCCCATTCACACTAAGATCAGACCAAAAAATAAGTCAACTGAGGTCCATTTAGTTGCAATTTCAACCTCCATTGCATTTTTTTTTCTTTTGCCAAATAGCATAGTAGTAGTAGTAGTGGTTCAGCGCACTGCAACTCAATGCACTAGCACAAAGCAGTGCGAACTGATCCCACTCACACCCATACATTTCTCAGGTTACCTTATGTTGGCATTCATTGACATCCGTTGAAAAATAGATGCTAATGGATTTGGTTTGAATGGGCCCTTTTTTATTAAAATTTTATGTTTTGTATTTACTTAATGTGTTTATTTGTTGTTTAAAAATATATATGGATCACTTTGCGCTTTTTTCCCACCTGGTTTTGCTAATCATTCACTATTACCAATACAAAACAAAAAAAATACAGATTTGTGATGGTAGAAAAGCTATAGTAAATGTTGCCTAGGTAGGTACATTACTGCGAAGTGTATTGTCGGCACGTCTAAGAATAGAACCCTATGGATCACCCCAGCTGTCAGTCAAATTCAAAACTGCTATGGAAAACACAGCTGAGGAGTGAAAGTTGGAATTTATTGGCTGCTGTGAGGCAATACAAAGGCCTGGCCAATGTCAAGCTTTACGCTTTGAAATCAGTTACTTCAGTGGCACATTATGTGATATAATCCTATGGGATATTACGATAATCCTTTCGTATTGCATGCTGCATCAAAGAGGTAAATGTTTTGTGTTACACGTTTGTGTTGGAATGTTACCATTGTGATATGGCACCTCATTCTCAAAGTTTTACAATAACTGTAGCTTTTTGGTCGTTTGTATCTCATGGTCCAGCAGAATTGTTGTCATATTACACAAAAATAGTTTTTCTCTGTTTAATAAAAACAAGTATTTTTTTAAATTTAAAATTAAAATAAGTATTGTTCTTAATTAAACTTATATCCTAGGCCAGAGAATACCGATCGGTAGTACAGTCTACTTTGGAAGCTGTAAAATGAGGGGCATCCTGGAGGGAGGCACTTTTAAAAGTTAAATGCAGTTAAAGGGGGTTTGCCCCAACTGGGTGTGCTCTTATCCAACTTTTTAATACTGGTGCTCAGGTTAAAGATTCCTCAGAAGTGGTGCACAGGCCACCAATGCAAGAATATGGTTAAAGGGGGAAAAAGTAAGGCCTACTAAAGGTATGTGCTCTATATAACAGTACAAGTTATTATTTATTTTTTCTTACATTTAGGCTGGGTTCACACCTAGGCGTATTAAATATGCGCGTTTGTCGCACATTTTTATCGCGATTCGCGGTAAAAAAACGTGCGACAAACGCGCGTTTCCGTGGGCTACTTGGCTGTATCCCAATGGAAACGAGAGACCAAAACGCCCCAAAGAAGTACATGTACTTCTTTAGGAGTAGGCCGTTTTGTATCGCGTTCAGATGGGCGGAAATACGACAAGGTGTGAACCAGACCCATTGAATACAATGGGATTTAGATGTTTGAGCGTTTGTAGAGCGTTGAACGCGCTACAAACCGTTCAGGTGTGAACCAGGCCTTACAAATGGTATGACTGATATGAGCTGATATCCTGTATACATTTCTTCGCACAGAATGCTGTACTTTACGACAATTTTTTCAAAATAAAATAGAACTCCAAACAGAATTAAAAGATAAAAATTAATAGCCCATTGGCTTCTGGCAGAGAGCCCATTGGCTTCTGGCAGACTGGCAGAGAGAGAAGCCCACTGGCTTCTCTCTCTGCCAGTCTGAACTCTGCTGTAGAGTGGACTGCAAAAAAGGCTAATACCAAGTTAAACTCAGGTACTTACAATGCTAAAAAAAAATGAATACGTATTATGAACACATTAGTTTGTATCCTATCTAGTTCAGCTTCAATCTTAATAAGATCTGATACTTTAGGGCTGATTTACTGTATGACTAGTCACTTCAATTATTCAGTCATTTGAAGATAAAATAATTAAAAGGTGATCTTCATGATTGGATAATTGAAGTGAATCTTCACACAATTTATTGTGTGAACATTCTCAACTCCTTTAATAAATTATCTTATTTGACTCTGATAACCTCTTTGACTCTGATAAATTTACTTAAAATAATTTACACAAACAATGTAATTGTGCATACAACCACAATATTGTGCATTTTGGGTTTTATTACCAGTATCTGCAGTTAATCATTTAGTGGTTATATATGGCTAAAATGTAAGTGTGAAACCTTGTAAAATGCAGTCATTTACTGAAACAGAATCTTATAAGCAAAACAATTAGACACGCATGGATCATTTCTTCCATGTAAACTGCATTGCAGTTTTCCAGTCATGTATCTTATGTTTATTTTGTAGATGTTCCACACTTGCTGATACATTGTGCAATTGTTCTCATGTGCAATATTTTGCAAAAAGAAAAAAAAGCTTTATTATACAATATCAGATAATTTCATCTGACAATAAAACATCTCCCTTAAAGCTTACTCTGAAATAGTAATCTCGCCAAATATAGATTTGTTTTTTCTTCAAATTAGTGCAAATAAAAATTTCTGAGCCTGAGCAACTTATGTACAATTACAATGTAAAAAGGTTAAAGGGAACCTTGTAGTAAAATGCAAGGTCCACTTACACTACTTGGGCCCCCTCCACTTTCATAAATCACCACTGTTAATAGGTTAAAAATGGATCTGTAAAGAAGAAAATTGGGGTTTATACTTAGTTTTACCCCCTTTTCCACCCAATGGTGCCTAGGAGAGGGTGATGTCACACTCCTTCTGGCTAGATCCTGGGTTATACACATCAGCCTAAATCCCACAAGAAGACGCTCTTGCAACGAACTGGAGTTTCTTCTCACAAGGTTTTGTCTGTTCTGCATTGCCCAGGAATTTTCACTGCAATATGGAATATAGGGTACGGTAAGTATAAATCTAACTTTTTTCTTTACAGGTACATTTTACATCTTCTAAAAGTAGGTAATTTGTAAAGGAGGAGGGGGCCCAGGCAATCTGAGTGGACTTTGCATTTTACTGCGTGGCCCGCTTTAAACTGAAACAAATAAACAAAATCTGACTCTGCTGAGTGGTTATAATTATAATATATATTTAGTATGTCATTAGTAAATATTATATACAATGTATTTAAATAAATAGTTAGAATTGTTTTCGGCCCTGGGCAATGTGTTAAAAAAATGTTTTATTCACATGACTATGGAATGTTCAATGTAAAGAAAAAAATGCATCAATAAGGAAACAGTAACTCAGATCATCATGGTATAGACGTCCGATTTCAAGGCACATTCTTGGCAAATCAGAGTTCTGTTTTAGTAGATCAGACCTGGAATAAAAAAAATAAAAAATAAAAAGTTATGCAAGGTACAAGTGCCATGAACAGCATTTTAAAACAACATGAAAATTCCCTTTTACAATGCTAGTACATTTTGTGGATTTTCCATTTGTCCAAAATGTCCTCTTAGTGAAAAAGCTTTACTAAGGGGGCAGAAAAGGATCACAAAGAGTGGAGTTCACTTTAACCAATCATGTGAATGCGAAGAGGAATGTATAGAAGCAAGATTTAGGGGTCTATTCACAAAGCTGCCGAAGGATCGTATTGCAGTGCAAATGTAAAAGTCAGACATTTCAGAATGAATGGCTCTGTGAATGTTTTATAAATACACCCCATAAAGAAAATGTATTGAAAAGAAATTTGCATATACTTTAAATTACTGAACATTCCATCTTGAAAATAAGTGTAAAGAGTCTCAAGGTGCCCCTAATTTTAGCCAGACCTAACAATAAACAGCAATTGTGCACATTATAGAAACTTGTCCCAAAATTGGCCTTCCACTGTGTTAATATAGTGAGGTCTGACGAACCCCAACCCCTTTGTAAAGAGAATAGAGGAGTAGTACTCAACACTGTGCCACCCTCAGGTTCCTCAAAATTTACAAACCGGTAACACAAATGGTCAGATTTTAATTTCCTGTCTATGCCATGCAGACATGTAAGTTGACACATTTACCAAACCACAGTCTGGCTTAAAAGAAATGCAGAGCATTATAAACTTCTGATGAAGCCCTGTCATAAATGGTCAAGTCATATACAGTCTTAAGACCAGCTTAAGGAATACACATCTGCAAATCTGGTATACTGATCTGAAGTTGAACTTTCATACTTCTCAGTCTCACAAATCTAATTCGCATTCCATAACTCCTACAGTAATAGAGTTACCTTCCTAAAAAGTGGCTACACATATGTCTAAGACACCAAATGTACCTATATTACACGGTCCAGAAGGCTAATAAGACACATTAGACCTCCTAATAGAAATATACATCAGATCAAAATCACATTTGGTATCTAAGAAATCGTAATTTCATTCTTTTAAACAATATGCTGGTTGCCAGATTGTGAAACCTTGTCATATGGAAATATAGATGTAACCAGGACAGCTGGCATTAAGGTTGTGTCTGCTGAGCAGGATGAATACTCTCCAGAACACCTACATCACACACCTCAGACCCTTTGGTTGGCGTCACCCTGGAACACCCTCTTGCGGAACAAGAAAAGAAGCTGCAAGCTCTTCTTTTACTGAGAGTCACTTTTCTGAGCACCAGTGACACTTGAAAACATCAGAGTGGACTTCACTCTGCAAGTGATCCTTATGCTGCAATGAACCAAAGGTCGAGCGGACTCTTTAGAAGTATTTTTCACTTTTAAAACTCTTTAATTTTACTGTTGCTTATGTCTGTTTGGTAATATATTTTTTGCACAGTGTTTTCTTAATAATACAACTATATTAAGAAATTATTATGCTGAATCTCTGAATGATAAAACTAAAAATTAGGAACTGTGCCTCTCTGAAGAGGCTACTGTAGTGCAAACACTGTTACATTTCTGTCTGAGTATGGCAGCGAGTGATACAGAAATTTTTTAAAGGTCAAAATTGCAACAGCAAATGCTGTGAACAGTGTATGTTGCCATTAAGATTAGTGGTGGTGAACACCATGTGTGTGTGTTTAAAGGGTAAACTGCTCAGTGAACCTGTATCGAATAAAGCATAAAAGAAATAATACCCGAAGTCTTGTTCATCAAATAGCCTTAATAATATGTTAAGCATCAAACACCAGTCAGTGACTAAACATAGACACCAAAACAAGATCAACTGTTTTATAAAGGATAAAACCAGTTAAGGACATCACTGTTACAAACCAGTGGAGCCTATTAAGGTATAAATAAATCTCTTTTATTGATTTCGCTATAAAAATTCCTAATTTGTCAGTGTAGAACCCCCACACTGCATAACTTAACCCTAATTTAAAACCATGTTGACAACGTTGTCAGCCATGCATACCCCACTGACAACATCCACACTCACTCCACTAATTCAATAGACTGCAGACTGCACCCATACACCCTCTACTCCCCATGCCAGGGGACCGCTTTTGAGTAAACCTACTTTGACAGAGTCTGTAAATCGACATGAGTAAGCAGTGCTGCTGAAAAACACGGACTGTTTGACTTCCCAAAAAGATCTGTGGATGTCTGTGGCAGCAATATGTGGTGAGGTGTATCATGAGTAGTGATCTTTTTACAACTGCTAGCCGGTTGATGTTCTCGCATGAATTGATTACTTACATGACTACTAGGCTAGGTTTACACCTAGGCGACACCTCACCGATTGCCACGCGGATTGCTGTGCGGTGAGGAATCGCCAAAGTGTGAACCGTTCGCGCTGTGGGTGCAATTATTTTCTAAAACATCTGCGCGTTGTGTATCGCAAACAAAAGGTACTTGTACATTTTTTCTGCGATTGCCGCGCAGATGTCACCCCATTGAAATCAATGGGGCCATGCTGCAATCGCTGCCTGCATTGCATAGCACCGAGCGACCCCGGGATGCGCATCACGGCTGTCGTGCGGTGTAGTGCAGGTGTGAACCTAGCCTTACTATTAGTTGGCTGTAGCCAAGGGGATTAAAAAAAGGGGGGGGGGAAACTTATCTGGGGAATTGTGGACTATCCTCTGTAGCGTTAGTAGAGATCCTTATGCGATTGACGCGGCTGTTTAATTAAGTGCAGGCTGTCTCTCTGAAAAAATTTCAAAACCGAAATGAAAAAAAAGTTGGGCCGAAACCGAAAATATTTTTTTCTAACTTTTTCAAATTATTTCAAATATTTTTTTATTTTTTTGATAAACTGTTAATTTTGTTTATATTTTATTTAAATTTTTTTTTTTTTATTAAATATTTTAATTTTTTACTTTTAGGGGCTTTAGGGAAATATTAGGGGTCTAAACAGACCCCTGATAGTTCCCTTTTAAAATAGTAAAAGAGATTGGGAACACAGAGTCCTCAATTTCTTTTTCTGCAGCCCATGTTATAAATGAACAGGAATCCTCTATACTTAGGGGTCTATTCACGAAGCTGTCGAGGGCAGCCGAGTGAATGATGTGAAAAAAGTTAAAAAAGTAAATAGCAAACGATTGTGCGGAGCTAGCAGTGACAGCTAGCTCCGCCCAATAGTTTCCTATTGTCCGGCGGCTCTGCTGCTGTAAAAGAAAAAAAAAACGCTCCCGGGCGCTAAAAAAAAAAAGTTATTAAAAAAGACATCTGATTTCTTGCTATAAGCCTCACTTCTACTCTTCTTGTCTCTATTGCTCACTTCTGCTGTGGAAGAATCACACAGCAAAAATGTAAAAAGTGTGTCAGTCATTTAGGAACAGAAACTAAAAACTAGCTCAGTCATGAAGGGGTTAATATACATTTAAAGGCAGGGTTATATGTATAGAGTCAGTGTACTTACACCAGTAACTTAGGATTGTGAACAGAACTGAGTTTTAGCCAACCTTAATAGCAGCCTTGCACATCTTTTGTAATCTGTAGAAAGAGAAAGTATTTATAAATATATATATTGCTAAAATAATATATGTTAAATGTGCTTAAATACGGTAAGGGAAAACCTTGACCAATTCTGAATGTGCCAGATCTGTGACAATATACAATAAACTGTATATACAATAAGCAAGACCCCCCAAAGACTATAGCCATTAAAAAAACATAACAAACACAGTATGTTGGTGTCTCAGTACCTATGTATAAAGGTACAGTGCTGGACTGAAACTAACAGCTGAATTTAGTTACATGCAAATACACATGTGGTGCTTTTTATACTTATACTACGATCAGTAAAGTACTGTTTTGGATACTCCACAGTACTGAGCCACGTGAAAAAGCACAAATTAACAGGAACAAATTACTACTCTGGGAAAATAGTCACAAATTTTATACCATTTACAGTACATAATATGTTATTTCCAGAAATATATCCGCACGCATTACTAAAGAAAATATATCAAAAGAATTGAAGTAATATTTCTTTCTCATCGAGGAGCATGGGAATTCTTAGACTGTCGGGTTATAAGGCCACCTACAAAAGAAATGAACACTAGCAACCAAAAACGTAGGCCATCATAGTATACCCCTGCCCACAACTAGCATACCTCCATTTGTTTTATTATTCGCCTCAGGTTTTCTTCAGCTCTGCTGTTCTCTGTTCATTTGGAAGCTTTTGTGCTATCTACAACTGCTGGCTGATTGATACCAGATATATGTAAATTCTGGAAGTCTCTCCAGTATATAAACAAAAGCAGGTTTTCCCAGTTTATACTGGTGTTCTCTCTCTAACAGCCCTGGATTTCTGGAAGTATCTCTATTCATCAACAGCTACTGGTAGATTCACATCACATATGAAAATCCTGGATAGTTCAGTTATCCAAGCAGCGCAAGTTCCTAGTTCATTATCTATTCTGGTTTTCTCTCTGCAACAGGCATGTAGTTGACAGTAACTATCTGTCTGTGTTCCAATTTTCACAGGATTCCACTGTTTTTGTTTGGACTGTTTTCCTGGTGGATTCCGTATGGAGTTATCAGTCCATACTTGAGGCAGTTATCCTGTCCCTATCTCTGCAACTCAATGTTGTGAGTAAATGCCAGGATTATGTTGGGTTGAGGTTCCCTCTCTTTGGTACTAAGCCCTATGAATGTGGTATTTGCTACGTAAGCAACTGTAGCTGACTGGCCAATTTGTGGGAGTTAAAATTCTCCTTTTCTTTCTGAGCTTGCTTATACTTTATGTACTTTGCCAGTTGGCCACATGGGAGAGCTATCCTCTTTATTTCCGATCAAGCTATACAAGGTGAACTGTAACAGTTTATTTTTCCCACCCATTCTTTGCCATCAGCTACACTTGATGATGTAACTTTAAATGAGAAGGGAGCGCACAGACGTGTGTGTGGGGTCGCTTTTCATATGCAAGAACAAGGCTTGGTCCTATTTGACTTTTGTGTGAAGGGGACGCTTTATGGTCTGGTTCTGATGTCTGCCAGGGTCTGTCTATGACCCATGGGTCATTACCATCCATTTTCCCCCCATCTCTGCTAATTCTGACATAGCTCCGAGCTAGCTTCTACAGTTGGCCAGCTCAGAGTTCGTGGATGAGAATATTTTTTTTGTTTTAGCACCTAGACACAAACGAGCAGTTAACCCTTGCAGTGCTGGAGTAGATCCACTGCAAGGGTTAAGAAAACTCGTGACATTTTTCTTTAAATGTAGGTTTATGTTGTCATGCTCTCTGTACTATTTTGCTACAAAACTAACACAAGATGGTTGCAGATCAGATTATCCTGTGCTGGTCAACTTTTTTTTGCCACAGTCCATTTCTTCAGGGCGCAGCAGTATAATGGGACAGTCTAAGAGTTTGTGTCCCTTAATGGACTTAAAAAAATACAAAAATCCTATCATTTGGAGATGCTACTGTCCATTTCATATACAGATATATATCAATCTTGTAATGATCAGTATATTATCTAACTGGTGAAAATATCATAATTTTTAAGGGTAATCATGAAATATGTTTGATGACAATGTAAAACAATTATGATATAATTTATTACCATAAGGGTTAATGCGGAACACACCTATCTTCCCTAGTGCTTCTGAGTTTAATCTGGTGACCAGATTACATAATCTCTGCTAAGCTTGTGCGTGGGCACCAAGTTCACCTGGGCCTGCAAAAAACTGTCAGTGACACACATCCCCCAATTAGATATAAAGTATTTAATACATATACAACTATTGCTTTTATTACTATTATGCTCTTTCATTTACACTTCAGGAATAAATAAAAAAAACTACTGTTCCCTTTCAATATCTACTTACAAGCTGGTGTTGAACAGTCTTTGGTGTTGTGGTAAAGTCGATTGAACTGTTTACTGCACTCTGCTGAGAATATTACTGGACCTGCTAAAATAAAAGTAAAGGGAAATCTGTTTACTTAAACCATTCTACATAAATAGGCTGATTTCATAAGGCAGTGCAGAGAGTTGGACGGCAAGCTGGACAATGAAACAAAAATACCTAAATGCCAATTATGATTCAGCAACATTAGTTCTGTGTATTTTCATAAAAAATGGCCTACTCTTTATAGACATGTCGTTATTGCAGAGTTTGGTAGATACACCTGTAATTTGCCATTTGTAATTTAGGGGTCTATTCACAAAGCTGCCGAAGGATCTAGCCGTAGCTTCGGCAAGTAGAACAGAAGGGCTGCTGTACATGCTATTCACAATAGCCACTACAGCTCCCAAAGTTGGCCGAGCGGCTCAGTCGAGCCGAAGGCATATGCTTCGGCTCAACTGGACCAAGGTGAAAGCCGAAGCTGGACGACAGCCTGCTTCTGAAAGCTGGGCGGAGCCAGCCGTCATTTACGACTGGGCCCGGCCACTTGCAGAGACAGATCAGCGTCCCTGGTTACCAGGTTAAAAAAAACAGGTACCAGGTAACCAGGGACGCTGATCTGTCATTACACACTGAGAACCCCGCCGGGTTCTCAGTGTAATGACATTTGGAAATAAGGCTTTACCCTCCATGTGATCCTTCCTGGCTGCATTCCCAGGATCTGGTGATCGGGCAGCTCGTACACCTCTTTAGTTTTGCCTTCATTGATCTTTCTGCCGAGTTTCAGTTCCGATTCCATCTTTATCTGGTTACCAGGTAACCAGGGACGCTGATCTGTCATTAGGATGAGAGCTTAGCAGAGTCGGCGGTGATATGAAAGCCGAGTCTGCTGAGCTCTCATCCTAATGACAGAACAGCGCCCCCGGTTACCAGGTAACCAAGGACGCTGATCTGTCATTACGATGAGAGCTTAGCAGAGCCGACTTTCATATCACTCATTGTAATGACAGCTGGTCCCGGCCAATAGAAAACAGTTGGGCGGGGCTAGCCGTCACTGCTAGCTCCGCCCAATCATTTTCTTTTCCCCCCACTTTTTTGACTTTTTCTTTCTATTCTGCTTGCTACCTCAGAAGGTACCGAGCAGAATAGCCGAGCTAAATGCCGCTCAGCGGCATTCGGCTATTCACTCACTGCTGTTCGGCCCCTATGAGAATAGGCCGAACAGCAGCGAGTAGCCTGTCGGAGGTTCAGCTCAGCCGATCCAGATGTTGGATCGGCTGAGTCGAACTCCTTCTGCACTTCGGGTCAGCCGACCATGCTGAGCATGTTCAGCCGACCCGAAGCAAGCCGATGTAAGGCTGATTTCAGCCAATATACGGCTGAAATCAGCTGTACAAGACGAAGTGAATAGCCGAACAGCGTTCAGCTCACTTCACTTCGGGTTGGTTATTCACACGGTTGCCTTCGGGAACTTTGTGAATAACCCCCTTAATGTTATTAGCAAATAACTTTCTGTTTCAATTTAAGGCAGCTATGGCAATCAGTTTATAACTGAGACTCCATGCACAGCTGTATGAAGAGACCATAAGGCTAACAGTCATGTTGCACTCAGGGCCGTATTTCCCACAAGGCCAACCAAGGCCCGGCTTAGGGGCAGCAGGTAGTAGAGGGGCAGCAGGGTTGTGGAATTCTTATCTCCCGATGGTCAGGACATGCAGTTCCGGGCGCCAGGCGGGTAGTTGTTTTCTACCTTTAGCCCTGCTTTAGGCAAGCAGGGCTAAATGTACAGAGGGGAAGCCGCCACTTGTTTTGTACAAGTGATCTTGGCGATGTTGCCGAGATCACTTGTATGCAGCCTGCATACAGGGGGGCGCATTGAGGAACCTGGCATTGGGGCAGCAGTGAGAGTAAATCGGGCCCTGGTTCCACTCTTGTCACCATCAGAAACCCACCCTGAGAAATGATAATTAGCAGCTGCTGGAGTGCATTTATGTAGACAGGAATGGGATGCAAATAGGCTGGAGGAGATGAGCAGTGCTTATATGCACCAAAGGCTGTATGTATATATAAAAAAAGGTAATTATTTATAAATTAAGGAAACTAAATCTTGTTCAGTTAGGGTTTACATGTACCTTAAGGATGCATATTATGAGGGTCAAGCCTTTAAAACAACCTTGAATCTTTCACACAGTTTCCAAACAATTGTTCTGTCCCTTAGCTCACAGCTCTATGAATTTTCAGTCAATACCCTGTATTTTCTTACATTCCTTATAGGGATAAAAAGGAAACACCTAGAATTTCAAAAGTGAAAACACACTTCCATTTAATGCCCAGCTATCTGAAGGTGTTGAAAGGATAATGAGAAGGATAGGGAGCCACAGACTATAAAGCCCCATTTACTCATATTCATGTTCATGGATGTTCCTTAAGGGACTCAAAACATTCCAGAGCAATAGTCTAGAAGTGAAGTGGAATTGCGCATATAATTCACATCTCTAATATTAAATTTGCTAAGCTGTCCACCTTAAATAATACATTGTATTCATCAAGAGGTCGAACAGCTGTTCATTTAGTTTATTTATTGCCAATCCCTATGTAACTTAAACATATGGTTGTACAATAAGATCAAAACTGAGGAGATAAAACAGAAAACAAAATATATGTCAATGGCAGCTAAAGGTGTCCTTTTTAGATAACATCTACAAAATAGAAGAACATTATATACCACATGGCTTGAAGTTTCAATAGAGGAAAAATAGCACATGTTTAAAATATTTGATAAATGAACATGGACCAGAGCACAGACCAGATGTTTAACTGTTGGGGCACCAATACACCACAAAGCTATAATATTTCTTCTATATGTATAATGGGAATTCTGATTACTGTAATACATTATACTAGTTTATGCCACATGAGCCGTTGTCCTATTTTACCAAAAATGTAGGACCTATTCTTTAATTCAGCTACTACTGCAATGTACAGTCAATTATACTGCTGCAATTGGGACACCTGCATAAAAGGCAACAGTAACTTTCCTAAACAGATACACATTATATAGAGTTTTGAGCAGAGCTACTGGTAAATGTTTATCCTACACACTGATACTCTTTTAAAAAAATAAAAAAAAGATGCAAAGGGTCCAGACCGTAACCCTAAAATCATTAGAGTGCAGAAGACCTTGCAACAGTGGAATTGAACAATCTCCTGTAGGAGAAACAGCACATCTCCACAGCAGGAAGAATATTCTTGAAAAATGTTTCCATTTAGGATAGAGGCCACTTATATTTAATACCCATTTTTCTTGGTGGGCAGGGTTATTCATCTTTGTGGTTATGACACTTTACAAGAGTCCAAGTGCTAAGTCAGGTATCTGCAGGGTCTCTCCATCTACATTATTATAATATAAAGCCCTCTGTGTGCAGTGCATTACACAGAACATGACAGCACATAGAATATACATATTTACTATTTTGGGAACATCTTTCTACACCTGATTCACAAGGGAGAACCCTTCAGTGCTCCTAGCCATGTGTCCAAACAAGCACTGTGATGTACATGATCATTTCAGGATGGCTTACCCACCTGGTTGGAGATAATCTGATTCCTAATTTCTCCCCTTTTTCCCCCTAGGTTGAACAAGGCATCATATACTGTGATACAGAGTATTTTTCTCTGCAAAGAAAGCCAGCTCCGCTTAGGTATAAGTGACTTCCTTATTCTACCCTCAGCACAAACTTCCATGTTTCCCAGCTTCAGTCACCATCATTGCACCCTGGTTTACTCTCAAGAACTTACAGCACCCATCACTGCTCAGGCCCAATTCAGATGCCATTAAAAAAGAAACAATGAACCTGACATCCATGTAGCCCTTTAAAGAGAACTTCCCCTTTTGATTTAGTAACCCCATTATCTCAAAAGGACCAGTAAATCTGAAAGCAAAAGAATGACTATTCTGCGACAATTATCTGTTACAGATAGTGTATGGCTTCCCATGCTTAATTAGAACTTTCAAATCTCAATCTTCATGCAACTTAAGATATTTGACATTTCATTTTCAACTTTAAGTTTAAAATGACCCTGTCACTTTTACTAAAACAGTACACAAATATTCCTTAGATCTTTGATCTCTTGCATAGCTATAGCCTCTGGCAGAATATATTTACCTTCAACAGTTCCAAGTATGGTCTGCAGCAAAGCCATGCGCTGTGGTTTGATCTGTCATCCCCTACATCACTACTGTGCCCTGGCGCCGCAGTGCACTGTGTGGGGCCAGGCATTTAACATACTCAGATGTGTTTCAGATGTGTAGATCCCACCAGTGACTCTTGAGCAAGATCTGAGAAACAGGTGTCTAGACAAGTAAGTATAAAAGTCTTATTTTTTCATTTCTGGGCAGTGTTTTAGTAGGAGCAAAATGGTCACTTTAAGCTACCCCAAGTTATTATAGCTGATAGCATCTATATAACATCCTGTAACCTCACCTACAACCTTGCTGGTGGCCTCAAATATTTAATTTAATTCTTTAATGTTTATAACAGACTTTCTCAAAAATAGAGGAGCATACAGTGATGCACAATAGGCAAAGGCTTTTGTTGGCAACAATACCAGTTTGTAGCAAGCAGGGTTGTTTTAATACACTGCAGTCAATAGCGAAGGTTCTCAGGAAACCTAAAACATTTTAAAATACATTTGTATTCACAAATATATCCGTTTTTCTGTGTTATCTGATTTGCATGTGTGCAAATGTATCTAGAAAGTACTTTTTTGCAATAGGACATCATGCGGGGCTTTAAAATGTATGTAGGCAGTGCTTTGTTCAAGAAGATATAAATCACTACTTTAGAACTTATGCTGGAAGTATTCCTGAATCAAATACATCTGTGCTTTCCAGCAATGGTAATTTAAGCCTGTTGAGCTTACATATGCATTTCCATTGGTTAACTCTCAGTGTGAAAGTGAATCTATCACAAACAATTATGTTTGCTGTTAATATATGCCATATATAAGAAGGCCAAGGGCACAGAGCGATTTTCATCTACTCATGGAAACATTACATAGAAGTGCTGAAACTTGACTATTTGTTATAAAATATGATATTTGTACTTTTTAGGATAATATATTGCTACAATTTGTGTAATGTACAATGCTCTTGACCAGACAATAAGGTGAGTTATGACGAACCTATGTGAACCATATAATGCTTTACTAATACTAGATGCTGGAGAACAGAGCATATGAGCCTAGAAAAAACGATGTCAGGAAAGATATATGTTAGCTGCTATTGTTGACCTCTTTCTTGAAGTGCTAGTAGCCTGGCTGACTTTTTGTTATTATTCTGCCTTGATTTCGGTCGTCCGTTGTTAGTTATACTTACATGTGCCAACGGATTTCCTATATTGACTATATTTACATGGCACAGTAATAATGTCCAAATTCAGTAAACAGTAGATATTGGTTACCATAGTGAGATCAGGAAAAGGTGAAATCTGATTGTTTGGCTTCTTTGGGCTATTGCATTTGGCAAAATGTTACCGCTGTTTGCCCTTACTAAATAAGCTCAGTCATGGTTTGCATTGCAGTAACCATGTGGTACCTCAAAGTGACAGAAATGTATTGCATATCTGTACATAGTGAAGACATTAAGTGCATGTGAACTACTAAAAATACATTCCAATGAAAATTAAAACATGTCTTGGAATGCATACACAAACACAGTGAGCTTGTTCGGGGTCTCACTTTTTCTTCGAGTCCTTGTTGGAGTGTACTATTCTGTCTTTATCTTTTTTTGTATGTATTATGATAATTTGGGATCCTTTTTGTTTATCTCTTTATAATATAGGAGAGGACTTCCTATTCCCAAACATATCCACTGCAGACTCCTGACATTTCTCACATATGGAGATAGATCAAATACAGAAAAAGGAAGATACACAAGAAAGGTTAAGGATTCAGAACCATCCACATTGTTGGAGCTGCGAGGAATCTGGAAACACAGACCTTTCTGATAAAGCTGACTTTGTTGCCAAATGATCTACTACCGTCATGCCTTTTCTTCTTCTCTTTTATACTCTGGTGACTGGTTTCTACTGCACGCCTCATAAGCGCTGGGAGAATGGCCACCTACCTGTACTCTGGCAGCACTAAATAGATATGGAGGCTGGCAACGTTACCGGACTAAAGTGCTGCATTGTTTTCTCTACCCCAACCTAGACTAGCATGATTCAGATTGAAATGGAGTAAAGAAAGAAATTGAGGGCCACAACCCAAGCAGGATTCCAAGACACTGACAATACTGTGACAGTGACATGAAAATTACAGCAAGTTCCAAATGTTCCATCATATTTAAGAGAAAATTGCAAGTCACTCAACATCTGTAATTCTTGAAGATCTTCCCATCAGTTACAAATGTAATAAAAGACAAACTGTTTTTATTAATTGCAATGATGTAAGGAGATGGCTTCATACTGGTTATTGTGGTTACTACACTTTCCATGATATTGTTATTCTTTGCACTGCCTTTTTGAAAACACTTACAGAATACTCTATACCAGGGCTTAAATTTGGAAATTTGGGCCCACAGCCAGCTGACATGTCAGGTACATGGTCGCAGACTGCGTACCTGACGTGCGGTGGTTGGGGGACGGGCCTGGGGTGGGGTTGGAGGCGGGCCTGGGCAAGGTTTGGTGGGACAACTGGTGGAGAGTAAGGTTTTTGCCTGGCTAGTAGGTCTAGACTTGAAATTTTAAGCCTTGCTCTATAGTATACTCAGCAAATAAACAAGGTGGTGGTGAATGAAATGTAGACATGGGTTATCTGTTTACAAAATGCTAATTAATTGGTTTCCTGATATTATTTACTTTTAAAAATATTTAAACATGTCTCATCTCATTATCACAATACATATGAATGTTTGCTATGGGTAGAAAGTTATCTTTCTTTACACACAGTATAATATGTCATATGAAGTACACAAAACCATTTGAAGGACTATTGGAATTTGGAAATTAAAAGTGAATCTATCATGAACATCCTTACCTGTAAAATGATTTAAGATTTTTTCTTTAAGGGTGGAATCTCTGGAAAATATTTCTGCAAAATATTAATAAAACGCATGTTAGTAGAGTTTGTGTCAAGTGTGTAATCCAGTCCAAGCTTTCCTGTAATAAAATATCTATAATTGTCAGACAACACCTGAAAGTGAATACAAATCTTCAGCAATTTAAGCATGAAGATCAAGAAAACTGTTTTCAGAATAAATAGAATATAATGCTGAAAAACAGTGAAAAAATAATAAAATATAAAATTGACTAAAAAGGAAAAATCTAGAAAACCACCATAGTAAACTAATATGGGCACAGGTCTTCATAGCTCTGTTATTTTCATGTTTTCCAAACTTGCAGGTAGAAGTAGACTACTACTGTGAACAAATGTTGTATTCTAATAACTGCATGCAGTTAATAAATGTATTATAATTTTTTTCATTTCACATGCTTTTTTCATTTTTTTGTACACGGGGTGGGGGGGATGCTGTCATGCACATGTGAGCTCTCCCACCACTTGATCATTGATTGATGCACGGAGCTCCATATAAAGATGGGGGCCATGCAGCAGGAGAAGTACACAGCAGAGGCAGTTCTAAAAGATACACAAGGCTGTGAACCAGCAGAAAAGGAATTTTCAGACTCAGATTCTAAATCCCTTCAATATCAGAGAACAGAAAGTAAGAGACAAATAAATAAATGTGAAAAGCTCTATATTTTAATATACCTCTACCTGCAAATCAAACTGTTCAGCAAAGGTGGCAGTGGCAGGAGTTGGAGAAAACTATAACATTATTAAATGTGCATACAGTGGTCATCTTCCACTTGCATGGTTTCGATCATCTTTGAAATAAAAGAAAAAAAAAGTTCCGTAGTCGAGTGCACCTTTATTCATATTCAGGTGCAGGTCCCTTTAACTTAACTTCCCACAATCCTTTGGGCTCCCAGCATCCCCTGAGCACCTGCACACACCAGGGGATATAAATGCCAGATCCTCCCAACTTCCTGTGCTCAGAGAGACTGCGCCTGATAGGACAGCAGTGACTGGGCAAGTGAGCTGTCCTCCCGTGTTAAGTCTGGTGTGTGGGCCACCAGCAGTGAGCACAAGAGCACGCAGCATCTGTCTAAGAACCAGCCACTGGATAGGACTCGGCTACAGTCCCTTTGGAGAGGCTGTCCATGCAGTGGGGTGGCCCTATCTACAGCCACCAGAACCTCCTGACCGAAGCCAGTAGCAGCAGTACCAGTGTGAAGTCTGTGCCAGCAGGAGATCCACTCGGCTAACAGTTTGTTGAATGAACGATTGCTATCCTGTACACGTGAGATTCTTTCGCTCCCTAATTCTCTCAGTAAACTGAACTCAGTTACACAACAGTTCTTGCCACCGGTAAAGCAATCCTAGGCATATTGTTTATTCCAACATTTTTTTCTAATGTTGGTCTTGTTTTTGTTTTTTCTGTAAAGCACTTTAAGAAGGTACTTTTAAAGGCACTGTATAAAATAAAGTTGTTTTTTATTATTTCTTAATATGTTTGCTTGACTGCCTTGATATAAATAGAGATGCTATTGCTCCCAAATTACACAGGAAGCTCAGGAGGTTTACTTCCAGCTGCCAAAATTATTGGCATATTTCCCACTTTATCATCTGAGAGTGACACTGCATTTTTGGAGCTGTGCTCCTTTGCAGACAAGCCATAACCACCCTTTGGTTGTGGTATGCTGTGTGTCCTTTTAACTTTTCTTCCCGATTACGTGTGTGTGTGCTCATGGATATGGTGGTGGGGGTGTTTCTATATATGCTCCACTACTAAGACATTTATACTACTGCAAATTATTGTCTGCTTGATGGCTGAAACCTATGGTCTAAATTTTAATATACATTTAAAAACTAAAATTCAAAGCATATTATAAAATAAAAAGGCACAGTATGTAAATTGTTAGCACTCATACCTTACATGTTGAGGTACCATAAATATACCCGCTTGAAGTTTGTATATTCTCTATGTGGGAGAATGATGTACAGCGAGTATCAGATATAATCCAGTCTCGCTACAGTACCCTGAATTCTGACTACCTTCTATATTAGTTTTTTTGCACTCTTCTTGCTCTTCTATTCACTAACTGAATAGGTGTCACAAGTCTGGTACCTTTTTTACTTTAATGTCTCAAATCTATTTTGTTTAACCAGTCAAAAACAGCCAGAACTGTGCTATTAGTCCCTGTTTCTGCCTGTTTTCAGCTGTGCCTCATTCATTCTGTGTTTGAGGTAATTAGGGGTTCAGTCCTGACCACCAATGGTAGAGCATCTTACTTTTTCTGCATTTGTGCCAAGCCCTTCTGCCTTGTATATCCTGTTTACTTGTATTGACTTTGGCTTCTGAGCAATATTTGCTTTGACTTCTGCATCTTTTTGTTAGCACTATTTTTAGCTCCTATTTCTGTTTGCCTATCTGTGTTTTATTAGGCTCAGATCAATAAAATAACAAGACGTTTATTGAGACACACAACAAACATAGTAAGCCTGATTGACTGTAGTACTTTTAAGTTAGTGTAGATGACAGCAGATATATTAAACTTTATGTGTTTGATTTACTAAAGGCAAAAAACCTGGTAAAGTGTTCATCAACTCAGTTGAAAAAAGTTGGTAATAATTGGGTACGCTTACATTGTCAATGTTGCATACATTCGCTATGGGGTTCAGTTACTAAAGATCTGCCTGGTGTATAGCTGGGGGATGCCATTTGCATGGCCCTAGCATCCCTAGATGGCGCCAATGAGTATAAGAGCTGGAATGCATTATGAAACATGCCATCCAGCTGCCAAGAACAGCCAAGGTACTATGCGTGTGTGCCATCTACAAAGGAAGACAAGGGTTGTATGCACACTGTTATACAATATCCAACGTGGGGAGCTCCCATAATGTGCTTTTGCTTTTTTTGTGCTTTATTGTAAGTTGGTCTACTGCCGCCGCTATAACTTTTGGAAACAAAAGCTTTTGAGCTGTGGGAAGGAGGGATTGTGTTCTTCTTGATATAAGTCTTTGTACTGGGCTACTATAAGTGCCTTCTGTTAGTATATTTCTTAAATCCAATATTGCTTTCCAGAGATTTTTGCCATCCCTCTTTGATTTCTTTATAAGAGTATTTGATATTTTTCAAGCAGCTTCTGCCTTGTGATTGGATTTGCTTTGATATGGAGATAATGTAATGTAGGGGTAGGCAACCTTGACATTTCAGCTGTTTTGGAATTACAAATCCCATGAGCCATTGCAAGGTTCTGAGAGCCACAGACATGACTCCCAGAGGCATGGTGGGATTTGTAGTTTTACCACAGCTGGAGTGACCAGGTTGATTACCCCTGATGTAACATGCTCAAATTCCCACTCTCTGAAAACCTGGTAAGCTCTGAACTGAAATATTGTGGCTCATTATCTGTGAGTTGGATATTCCATGATGACTGACATGTGCCTTGTAGCATTTAATGGTTTGGAATTGGTGTCACACAGTGCATATATCTCCCAGAAGTCTGCATAATAACCAATTATTATGTAGCCCTAACCTGGTATACTGAATAAGTTAATGCCCAGCTTACTCCAGTGTTGAGTTAGTAATCTACTCCTTATTCATGCACGGTGTGTCGGCATCTGGGTGCCCACTTTATGAAAGTGGGAACCCAGATTCTTATAAACCTCCCTGCCTGCAGACCACCTACAACCACTGGGCCAGGGTTGTAGGGAAGAGGGCCTTGTCCTTGGGGGAGGGGGGGGGGGCTTGCCATCCCCTTTCCTGCTCTGCCAGGCTACTGCTCAGAACAAGGGTCTAGTAAAGAATATTAGGGGGACCCCATCCCTTTTTTTTTGTTTTCTTTTGGCATTAGGGTCCACCCTAAAATTCCGACCAGAACTAAGGGGTCTCAGTCCGTCCCTCAGTTTGACCCTCTACTTTCACTTTCAAACTGCTCAGAGTAGCTTGGAATCTGCACAAGGGCCTTTACCAAAGTAACATCTAAAAAGTAAGAAATATATTTTTAAAAATTAGTTTTTGATGCTGTGTGAATAGGAACACATAAGAAACATAGTGGGGATTTCTAAAATGATACTTCAAAAGCTGAACTATGCTTTAACAAGAGAAGGAAAATATATAGTATTAGCCTTTTGAGATAGTTTGACAGAGAACCTTTAACTTGGATACATTTGTAAGAATCTAGAAATATCCAAAAAACTCATATACGAGATATTCAGATAGCTAAACAAAGTATATAGATACTGCACTGCTGTCCACCAGAAGACACACCAGTGAAAACTTGGCCTAAAATATGACATTCGACATTTTAGTGAATTAATAGCTATCATTTATTGTCTAATGGGTTAGTTGCGTAGAGAAATGTAGCGCATAACATTATAAAATCTTTTCATGTTTTGACTACTATAATCTAAAATATGGTTGGTTGCCATGGGTTACTCCATTTTAAACATGGAGATGCATGATTTAAAAATGTAATTGTTGGCTATAGCAGCTTAGGTGTCAAATAATATTTTCATAATTTTATTTTTAATTTAGAAGTTTGAAGTTAACACTCTTCTTACTAGTAATCTCAGTCCCTCCAGTCCCTTCATTAGTTGCACTAATTTAGATCTAAATAGTGAGTTTATTCCTCCTCCACGCATTGCTTTTTTATTCTGCAGATATGTAATAAAACAATTCATATGACTTTATAATTTGTCAATGGAATTATTGCATGTCTTTGATCAAACACTGCATAATCAAACTGACATTTCAAAATGTTTTATGTTTCTAATGTATCACATATTGGTGAAGTTTACAGATATCAGTTCAGAAAATTTAGGCCAGATCTCCAAAACCAGGGTAATTCCAAAGACGTCCATTTCAAAATCTCAGAAATGCACTTAATACAAAAGAAAACAAGTAGCTATTGGACATTTGTACTAAACTAAATCTCTGCTCCTGGATTGTTACAACACTACAGCCTTACCTCTCAGGGATTAGTTTTTTGATTATTTCTTTTGGATTTACTCCCTCTTAGAGAATAAGA